TGAAAGCTTCTATCCGTCCTGACATCGTCAACTTTGTCCACTCCAATATCTCCAAAAACTCTCATCCTGACATCATCAACATTTCTATGCAAATTCCATCTCTTAGTACCATCAAAATCGAACAAGAATTTCTATTCGTTAGTACCATCAAAATTAGCAATACCTAAAGCAAGCTCGCACCTGTTTGTATGAAGAAGGCGCACCTGTTTGTATGAAGAAGACGCATTTTAATTATATCAAAAATAGGGTAGATAAAGAATACATCCCTCTTACCACGGTAAGATTCATTTTTTTTTTTGCTGACTCCAGTAAGAGGATGGTCAGATGTAGGGAATCTGATTGCTGATTTTGCTTTTAGGTAAACACTTTTACCTCTTACCCGGGTAATCATCTCTTAACGGGTAAGAGATGGTAAGAGATAGTAAACGAGGCCTTAATTCTTGTCTTTCCTCTTATCGAGTAAAATTCTCAGTTCTTTTTATATGCAATTGGTAAAGTAATTGATAATCACTTCCCCAATAAATATTTGATAAACACTCCCTAAATTTCATTAGAAACACATAATTTGTTCCGATTTTATTTTTAGAAATTAACCTACTTTTAAAATCTTCGTGTTAGTATTTAAACATAAAGAAAAAAGTTTAATAAAAAGGTTTTCAAGGAATATATTTTTTTTGTTACAAAATTATAGCATCTTCATTTTATGTTCATAAAGTTATAATATATTTATTTAATTATATGAAACACATTTTAATTATATAAAAATATATCATCTTCCCTTACAAATTAGATAATGAAAACAAATATCCTAAAATAAGATCTAAAACAAAACAAAATATTATTTATAATTCTATTAATAAAAGTTGTTTCCATTGTTGGGAATTAAAAATCTGTACATTTAAAAAAAAAGTAAAAGTTTAACTTTCTAAATTTAAATGATGTAATTTTTAATTTTTTTGAATAATATTAATTATTTTTATTTTAAATGATTAAATTCTTAAACATATTTAAGAATAAAGAATCTTGAACTTTTAGAAATTAGTTAATTACATTTTTTTAACTTAGAAAAATAAATATAACCGGCTACAAATATTTTAAAGTAAAAAAAAAAACTTAAATCAGTTTTATCATTCCAAAATTCTATGTCATTCAAACCCCTCACACTTAACACTATTGCTCCCCCTTTTAACCTCTCCCTGCCCCATTGTCACCGGTTAGGTTTGACGGGTAAGGTTTTTAAATTTAAAATCTTCTTAAACAGTTGCACGTAGTTTTCTGGGGTAAAAATATTCAGGTATTGATGGTTTTAAAAGTCTGAAGATTTATTTATTTAGAAAAATTTAAGGAACCTAATTATTTAATATAAGAAAGTTTAATTCATTCCAAAAATAGTTTATGAAATTAAAGAATTCATTGGTTAAAAAAATTATTCAATTTATACGTATAATCATGACGTATTAAATTCAGAAGATTCTCATCTCATATTTGTTTTTATATATCTTTAACTACGATTACTTAAATCTATACATAATTTAAAAGAAAATAAAAAATAAAAAAGAAACTCCAATTTTTAGATTTAAGGACAATACATAATTTCCCAATTGAATACAAATACATTCCTTTTTGAGTAATTATATATCATACAGCTTGTCTTAAAATAATTGGTTTTAACTAGGGGTGTTTATGGATTGGGTTGATCGGGTTGAAGACATTTGAATAATCTAACCCGATGCTTGTGGTTTGAAAAATCTTAACTTAACCGAACCAAAGTGCAACCCTACCCGTACGGGTTGATACTTAGGTACATTAAAATATTCTTTTAACCTAGAATATGTTATTTCTCTACTCATAATTTCTTTTTCATTATCAACCATTTGATACAACTTATCCATACTTTTTACGTATATCACATTCAGTTAATTTTCTCAATTTACATATATATGTTCACAGTTATTGAACATATAAGAATGAGTTATATAAAGATGTAAATAAGTTAAAAATATGTGTATATGAAGAGTATACATGATAGTATAATTGTCTAATGTAAATATTAATAGAAATTCAACAATCATATTAAATTCAAGAAATAAAAAGATATCGGATTGAGTTGGGTTCAAATAACAGTAACCCAATATCAACATACCTAAAGTTTGACAGTTTTACAACTCGATTAGACATCCGGTTGCTTTGGGTTGAGTTATTTCATGTTGGGTTAGATTTAATTGATCAAGTTGGTCGGGTTTTTGAGCACGCCTAGTCCTAACTCAAAAAACTTCAAAATTATAATCTACTTAACAGAATTTGATTGAAATCATTCATATTTTTGCATTTGATAGGGTGAATTATTCTTTTAACCAACATACTTATATATATATATATATCTATACTATATTATAAAGCATTTGACTAAAACTCTTAAAAACTCTTAAACTCTTAAAACTCTTAAACTCTTAAAAACTCTTAAAC